GCGTATCCGCGCCCTGCGGGAGCCCAGCTACGCTGTCAAACGCTGCTGCCTGTTGCCGCGGGCTGGCGTCGACGGAATTGGTCACCGCGGCCGGCGACTTGGATTTGTCAGGAAAGGGTCTAAATCGCGCGTCCAGTCGCCCCCCCCACCCACACCCATTCCCGCGGTCTTTCCAACGCAGGGGCCGCGCGGGGGTCCGCTGGAGATCCGAGAGGGGCGATGGAGGCGGACGTCGGCCCGCGGACCCTCGCCCACCCTCTGTTCGGCGCAATGTCTTTGGGTCGCCTCCAGATGCCCGCCCCGTCGCCCCCGTCGGGCCCCGTCGACGCAAGGATGTCTGCTGGGGAAATTCGCAATGGGAATGCGACCGCTCGGTGAGCAGCGGTCGCCGCGCCACCTAGGCCCTTGCCCCCCCCCCGCCATCTCTAGGTTCAGCGGCGTCGTTGAGCGCGCGCCTGGTTCATTGCCCTGGGGGGTCTGCCCCGCCAGCTCTCCTGGCCTGCTCACCTGGGGTTTGCCCCAGGCGACTTCGCCTCTCGCGGGTCGCGGGGGAGGGCTGGGCCTTGAGCTTCTCGCCTATCAGCTGGTACTTAGCAAGCCTCCTCGATTGGTTGACCGCTGCGATGTCTCGATTTTTCGGCAAATCTCCTCCGGCTGGCTCGAGCTCCGCGATCGACCCCCAAATCAGGCGTTGAAGCTTCTGCTTCAATAACCTTCCCTTGTCTTTTGATCTCTTTCGCAGCCCCGATCGCTTCGCCTGTTTTTCCGGGGAACCGATGATCGGGTCGGGCGAAAGGGGGGGATAGCAAAGGGCAGGTTTGAGAATCAGCTCACGTAGCTGATTTTCCCGGCGCCTCCCGGCGCAGGGAGGCGCCCATGTATCGAGGAATGGGCCCCTCGGCGGGGCCGAAACCAGCTGCATGCAGCAAATTTCGTAACCCCCCTTTCGCCCGACCCGAGATGATCCTAAACTTTCGCAGGTGCCCCTGGTCGTGGAGCGTCCGCCCCTCGTTCAGGCCGCCGCGGGTTCCATGGTTTGATGATCTGCGTCATCCGCAGATGCCAAGGCGTCGTCCTCCTCCTCCTCCTCCTCCCCTCGTCGTCCTCCTCCTCCTCCTCCTCCTCCTCCTCCTCCTCATCCTCATCCTCCTCATCCTCCTCCTCCTTCTCCTCGCTCCTCCTCGATCCTCCTCCTCCTCCTCCTCCTCCCTGGCGTTATCCTCCTCATGTCCTTCCGCCCTGCCTTTGACGTTATCCACCCAACTCCCAGCTTCTATCTGTCGGCCGAAGCTGCAATTCACATGGCGCAGCAATCCGCGCAGGGTCGCTGCCGCCGCGCGCCGCGCTGCCCCGCGCCCTGGAAGGGCGCCCCTCGCCGGGGTGACTGCGTCGAAGGAACTCTGCCAATTTCGCAATTGCCTGGGTTGCAAGACATGGCCGGATTGGCAATGACAGCGTGCTACTACCGAGATGGGGCAGAAAGAGTCGTCAAAAGCCGGAACGTCCATGAGAGCAGATGCGCGTGCGATGTCCAACTCAGTCGCGCACCCGTCGGGATGCGCCCGCGCAGTGCAGCCTGAGCTGCTGAACTTCCTTTGACTGCATCATCTCACGGTGCTTGCTTGGCTCTCTCCGCCGCCCGCGCGCCCGCGCCCCCCCCGAGCTGTTCCCAAGTTATGGTTACCAAGGCGCGCGCCGCGATCGAAAGGTCCTCGCCGTTCTCCCCCGGAGAGAAGGAAAACCCAGGCATGCAAAAGCTGCCGGAAGGCCCCGGTCAGGATTTCGTTCAACCGGGTGGCGGTGATGGCGCCGGGCTCCGCGGAATTCCCTCGTGCCCTTGTTAGGAGACTCGTGAAGCACATCTCTACTAGATTTACCATATTTGTCCTCGCCCGCTGGTTCTTCCAATTCGTAGGTGACGGAAAGGGCGAGGTACGAGTGAGTTCCGTTGAGTTGGGGCGAAGCCCTTAAGGGGGGGTCCAGGGGGGGGGCGAAGCGGAGGGGAAGGGCCGAATGGTTCTATTTTGTGGGTTTTCCGTACGGTGTTTGCATGTTGTTCGGATTCTCCCTCCAGTCGGCCGACGAGCGCTTCACGAGAGCCCAAGACCGTCCAAGAGGCCCCCAAGAGGCCCCCAAGAGGCGCCCAAAGGGCGTCCCAAGAGGGCCCCAGGAGGCCAAAATCATCGATTTCCCCAAAGCAAACGTATATTTTTGGCATCTACGGCTTTTCGCCTTCCACGGCGTTGACGACGGCCCAGGAGGCTCCCAAGACCGCCCCAAACCGGCCCCAGCTGATCCTCTCCTGTCAAGGAGCCCACCTGCGGTGGCTGCAAGTCCCACCCGCGAACCACCCTACCATAAAAAACTTTCGGGAACCTAGAGAGTACTTCCTTGTGAAGGAAAGTCTCATAGGTGTATGAACGTCAGGAAGTACTATTTTTTGCCATGGATGACGAGGGTTTACAGCACGCATGATCAGGAAATAATATCTGTTGCAAGGGATGACGAGGGCTTACATCACGCATGATCTGGAAATAATATTTGTTGCAAGGGATGGCGAGGGCTTACAGAACGCATGATCAGGAAATACTAGTTCTTGCAAGGGATGGCGCCGGTGCCGCCAAAACGGCCCCAGAGGGCCCCCAGACGGCCCAAGAGGGCCCCAAGAGGGGGACCACGAACCGAAAAGTCTAGCCTATCGCCCCAAGACGCTCCCGGGAGGCCCCCACAGCCTTCAAAGAAACCCCAAGAGGCCCCCAAGAGGCGTCCGACGAGGTCATCAGGAGGCCAAAATCATTGATTTCTGACAGGAAAACGTACATTTTTAGCATACACGGTTTTTCAGCTTCCACGGCGTTGAAGACGGTCCAAGAGGCCCCCAAGACCGCCCCAAGACGGCCCCAGAAGCTCCCAAGAGGCCCCCAAAACGGCCCAAGAGGGCGCCAAGACGGCCCAAGAGGCGCCCAAGACGGCCCAAGAGGGCCCCAAGACGGCCCCAAGAGGGGGAACATGAACCAACAAGTCTAGCCTTTCGCCTCAAGAAGCTCCAGAGAGGCCCCAAGAGCCCCCCCAGAAGCCCCAAGAGGTCCCCAAGAGGGCCCCAAGAGGCTCCCAGGATGTCCCAAGAGCCCCCCAAGAGCCCCAAAAGAGGCCCTCAAACGGCCCACAAGTTCTTGACACCAAGGCCCAGCCAAGGCCCAGGAACGGGGGGCAGCGTAACAATCTCTGTACACCAGGGCTCCCAACGGAGACGGCGACGCAACAAGCTCTCCACACCAAGGCTCCCAAGAGCGAAGGGTGCCATGAGCCATCTCGGGCAAATGCCTGAGGCGCTCTTTCCGTTTCCGTGCCGGCCCAGCTCTATTCGCCATAAAACTTGCGGGGCATACTGAAGGCAACTGCTCGATGTCCCATCCTTCTGCTTTGTTGACCGGCTTTGGCTTAACCATGTTGTGGAAGTTCCCGAATCGAGGGCCCGACATACGAACTCTTTTGAGGCTCCTGCTCGTCGCCGCCAGCGGGGCCCTTCGAAAAATCCGCCACGCTGCGTTCGCCAGGTTGCTCAGCTGCCGCTTTGAGCTAGACGCTGCCTCAGACAAAAAAACACGCTGCCAAGATAGCCTAGCTGAGCAGATTCGAGATGGGACTGATGTCCTACCAGTGGTCCAAGACAGCTGCTAGAGAGCGGTGGCGATCTGGTCATCGCCTTCTGGTTCTTAGAACCTTTGGCTTTGGCGCGCGCCAGCAAGCCACAACGCGAGTAGGAGACGATCCACCAATTGCAATCGTTTTTCGTCGATTGCCGCGATATTGGACTGTCGGGCAGTGGCGCTCCTTCGAACCTGGGCTGGGACCTTTTTGGGAATGCCACTCGCCGAAACTTTCAACTAGCCTGTGCGCATGCGGTTGTGGGAATATAGCATGCGCACGATCTGACGTCAGCAGCCGCCCCTTTTTCTGGATCTCGAATGTCTTGTCTTCTAACTGTTGTGCCCTTCCAAAGGTCCTCCAACGTTCAAGTGTCTAATAAATCTACAAGCGTTTCCTCCACATCCTCCTTGCTGCATTAATGTAAAAGTTTATCTTGTTCTCACCCATCCTGCTGGAAGTCCACCTCCATCTCATCCATGGGACTGGGGTCCTCCAAGTCCAGGGTGGGGGCGGCTTCACCTTGCGTGTTCCTCTTAGCAACTTGCTTGGGATTGGGGTTTGCCTTCGGCTAGCGTTGCATTTTCTTCTGTCTGGACCGTTTGCTGCAAGTGTCTGCTCTCCTGGGCGGGGCAGGCCTGTGCGGGAAAGGCAACAGGGATCCTACACGTACAGTGACCAACGTCTCTCGCATCAACTCCCAAATGCACAATCCATCCAGCGTGTGCCGCACACTCCCCGTCCGAATAGCCCTTGACCTCTCTCGAGAAAAGGCCCGATGTCTACTGAGAGGGAAAAGAGGATGCGCAGGATGAGGAGCACGTCGACGTGGAGGAGGAGGGGCAAACATAGGCTGATGAGGAGGGAGAGATGCGGAAGCGAAGTTAACTTGGAACCTCATGTCCAAACTCTGGGGGAGCGGCATCAGGAGGACCAGGATGAGGAGGAAGGCAAGGAAGAGAAAGGGAAAGAGCACGATGAGGAGGGGAGAATGAACAGGAGGAGTGGGAGGAGGATGTTGACGAATGGCGGCCATCTGTTGCAATGGACAATCATGAGGAAGATGAGGAGGGGCTGATGAGGATGAGAAGGTGGAAGAGGCAAAACCGAGTTGAAACCACATTCTTCAAATTTGGAAGGCTTCTTTCGAAATTTGCTCAAGAGAGTGGTCCACGGGAGTCCCACGGCACACACTTGACATCTCATACATGTACTGTGCAATGTGGCGCACGGCATGCTATCGACTCCAGCGCTTTGGCGTGCCAGAGAATCCACATAGACCCGATGATGATCTGATTTCGCCCAGCCGGCAGGAAGGCAGGAGGGAGGAGAGAAGCAGGAGCTCGCGAGGCCTTCTTCCCCGCGAAGCCGCTCGTGCCGAGCTTTTCCGCCTGTGGCCGCAGGTCCTCCTCCACCTCCCCCTCTTCAGGAGAGCCCAGAATCGAATCGATAAGTCGGATCGGCGATTGAAACGGGTCGGGTCGGCGGAAATCGGCAGGCTAGTGTGCCTCCAGCATCGGAGTCCAAATCGGAACCCGAAGTCGAAGCGAATCGGAATCGGAAGCCATCGAAAACGAATCGAATCGAATCGGAGGAATCGAGCCGAGCCCTGCCTCTTCCCCCGCCGCCCAACGCCGCGTTTCAACCCCTGTGGCCCGATAGCAAGACGAGTGCAGTGTGCGAGAACCAGGCGTGGATCAGCGGTGGACAAACCTCCCTTCAATAAACCTGCCCTGAGTGGAAACGGCCTAGGACCGAAACCGACGGACCTGGACCCGGAAAAATGACGGCCGCGACGCCCTCTCGCGAACCGAACACGGCCAATTCCTCAATCGACGTGTCAGGGAGGGAGGCCTATCAACCTCCGAATGGACAGATCGACCCCCCGAGATTCCACGAGCTCGAGGGACCGCGCGCGAGCGAATGACTGCGCGCTGGAAGGGCCGCCTCTGACCGAGCAAATGCTCGGGAGAGGTAAGACGAAGCCAGGACGGGGATAGCACCGGGTGAACATAAAAAACGATCACCTCTGAGATCCGGCGGCTCTGGAGGATGCCTCGGGCGCCGCGGCCTTCTCACAGCGATCCGGATTGGGGGTCGCTCAGTGGGGGGGGCGATACAAAAAGGGGGGAAAAGGAAGGTGCACTTTTCGGGCCCTGAAGGGCCCCCTTCTGGGCCCGAAAGGGCTCCTATGGGGCCCGGCCTCCTTTCGGCAGCACTGTATCGCCCCTCCATTACGCAACGCACAAAAGGACCGCTCTGAAAGTGTTCCGGAATGCTCTGGAACGGATTTATCCTCGTCCTAGTCCCGTCCGGAAAGGTCTGCGGGGCGCGAAGGGGGAGGGGGGAGGAGCAAGGGAAGGAGGGAGGGGAGGAAGGGAGGAGGAGGAGGAAGGGAGGGATAACCAGGATAACTCTTCAAGAGGGGGACGGCGCCTTGCTCGGCCCCCACGCGAAAGTTCGATTACGCCCAATCGATCGGAGGGAGAGATGCGAAGAACGGTGGGGAGGGAAGGGGACGGAGGGAGGGAGGAAGGGCGGAAGGAAGGGAAAAGTGAGGGAGGGAGGAGAGGGAGGGAGGTAGGACGAAGGGAGGGAGGAGGGAGGGATGGGCTGACACACTGATGCGGGCCTTCGATGCTTCGGCCTCATCACTGGGGGCCTGCCATTCGCCCCAGGTCTGCTTCTTGATGGCCTGCGGGCCCCCAAGAGCAAGCCCCCGAAATCCAAGGGCGCCGAACTTCGCGCCCTCTCGCGCTGCGCGAAAGCGCGGAAAACTTCGCGCTCCCGCGCCACTCCCAAGGGGAGGAAAGCAGAATCCCCCAGCACCATCCTTGGCGGCACGCAGATTGGGGGCAGAATTAGGTCGGGCATGTTCCGCTACATGCGGAATTTACACGAAAAAGAAAGCATGGTAAAAACATGCTCCGAAATTGCCAAACATATTCCAAAAGATCGTCCCAACATTATATTTAGACTGTTTTCGAATACTCCTCCTGTAGAGGGACAGGCCCGACTTAAGAGCAGGTGGAGGGGGAAGGCTTCTTAGAAGCAGGGGGTGTTTCGGAAAATCCCCTCAGCGTGTGGCCGCATCACCCCCCACTCTGGTCTGTGTGGGCCATGCGCGCTTGAAACAAGAAATCGCCAGCTTCCCAACTGATGGGAAGGAGGCCCCTCGATGCTACAGCGTCGCACCGAGGCCGGCACAACCAAGGCAAGTCGGCGAGAACGTGGGGAGGAGGAAAACGAGACGACGACGACGAGGACGACAAGCGGACCGGCCACGAGGCCAGGAAAGGCGAGAAAGACGAGGGACACGAAGAGGAACGACGAGAGGGGGACGTCGGCTCATGAGAGCCCGGAGGCCGCAGAACAGCCACAGGGCACGGAGGAAGAAGCCGCGCGCCAGTAGCCGCGGCCCGCCCACGCGGCGCGCGGCACGCTGCGTGCTTCGATGCCTCGGACCAGGCCACTCTGGTCACCCCCCAATATACCCAAGGGCCAAACTTCGCTCGTCGCGCTGTGCGAAGCGCGGACAACTTCGCGCTCACGCGCCGCCCCCCCAGGGGAGGAGGAGGAGGAGAAGGAGGAGGAGGAGGAGGAGGAGGAGGAGGAGGAAGAAGAGGAGGAGGAGGCGGAGGAGAAGCCGAACCGCGCTGCGCGAAGCGCGCATAACTTCGCGCTCCCGCACCGCCCCCCCAAGGGGAGAGGAGGAGGAGGAGGAGGAGGAGGAGGAGGAGGAGGAGGAGGAGGAGGAGGAGGAGGAGGAGGAGGAGGAGGAGGAGCCGAGCCACGACGCGCGAAGAACTCGTCGCGCCTCCGAGGGCGCCTCTGGAAAGTGGGGAGGCAGGGCGAGGACTGCGGGAGGAGGAAGCAACACCCGCTCAGAATTCACGGAGCCAGGGCCGAAAGTGAAATCGGCGGTGGACAAACCTCCCTTTAGTAAGCCTCCCTGTAGTGAAAACGGCCTAGGACCGAAGCCGACGGGCCTGGACCCGCAAAAATGACGGCCGCGACGGCCTCTCGCGAAACGAACACGGCCGATTCGCTGATCGACGTGTCAGGGAGGGAGGTCTATCAACCTCCGATGAAAAGCAAAATGGAAAGGGGGGAGGGCTGAGGATGTGCCGTGAACGGACGCTCCGGGAATTGTTTGGGGTGCCTGGGGCGACTGCGAAGCAAGAGCGTCCATGGGGTGTGGGGGGGGGCGGCGGGGCGGCGGGGCAAACCCCCGTCTTGGACGAAGGTGGACTATGGCGGATCGGGACTGCTGGTCAGAAGGGGGGGGACACTGAGCGAGAAGGGCGATGAGGAAGGGCGGAAGGAGGAAGAGGGGAGGCGGACGGGATGGGGGAGGGGGGGAGAGGAGGAGAGGAGAGGCTGGGGGCGAGGAGAAGGGACGATGACGGGGAGACGGGGAGCACGACGGAGACGAGGACGAGGACCGCCCCGACGGAGGAGGAGCATGACGAAGGCGAGGAGGACGATGACGAGGTGGGTCGGCAGCTGCAGCAACGGCGGCAAGAAACACAGGCCGAGGCGGGCGTCGCCTCCGCGCGCCTGTCGGCGGGCTGCTGCGGACCGCCCCTGGCGGAGAGCCACCCTGCGCGGCCCCGGGGGGCGGTCGGCAGTGGCGGCGAGGGGCGGGGATAACGCACGAGGGATAACCTGTGCGGTCCAGGTGCACGTCGGTCGGAAGAAGTAAGTCGGTAACAGCATGAAGTAGGAATGCAGATAAGAAACAGACTGGGTTCAGGCCCTCCCAGAGAACAACAACGCACAGCAACAGCAATCGATCCTTGACGCAGGAACGCGCTTGAAAAAGATCAGGATCTGGGACTCCAGAAATACATATTTCAACGACTGACGGGTGTACATGTCCGCTTCGACGAGGCTCAGAGGAGGAGGAGAAGGAGGAGGGACGAGGGGACTGGCTGCCTGACACACGGCTGTTGAACAATGATATGCTCGATTAGTTCTCTCATCTAATCCATGTACGCGTGCTCACGCATGCTTGACTTGACACGCGCTGACGCGTCCTACAGACAAGAGCGCCAGGCGCAGGGACCGAGGCGGACCCCGCCAGCGAAGGGACCCAACGCGGCCCGACAGAACCAGCGACACGGACGAGGAGGAAGAGGAGGACGCGTAGAGAAGGATGGAGGAAGACGGAGGGAGGGAGGAAGGGATTCTGTGGAGGTGGGGGGGGCGCTTCGAATAAACTCGGGCAGTGGGCGGCCATGACGGCCGGTGTCCTAGCCAGCGCTGCAAGAGCACATAGCAACACCGCTCCAGGTCCCTGCGCTCTCCCCATGACAAGCGATCCCCAAACCAAGAACACGCCTGTTGGGGAGCCCCGTGTGTCCTAACCACACGATGAGCGACGGAAAGGAACGGGTCTTACGCGGGATGACACAGCGGCCTTAGGCTCCGTCTTACGCGGGCGGCCAGCGTGGCACGCTACATTGTAAACGAAGGCGCTTACGCGCGGCCTTGCGCGGGCAGCTTACGCCCCAACGTCGGTGACAACGACCCCCTTCAATAGTGCGTCGCTCAGGTGAGGAGCAGCTGATCAGGGGGTGACGTGATGCTTTCAAAATTTGAAGACGGGTCGGCTCACTGACGCCCTCTCAACATGTGGTCACGAAGGATGGTTCGCACACAGAGCTGAGATTGCCGCAGGTGTGATACTCGTGCGGCTTCGAAATGTTCATGGCCGCCAACTCGCTGCGAGGGGAGGGCCGATCCCGCCGTCAACATCGGAAGACGCTCTTGTCATCAGCATCGGAACACGCCCTTGTGCACCCAACGCCCCCTGCTCGCGGGCTCGAGGCGATCTGGTCGGCTCTGGTCGATCCCGCCGCAATCGGCCATTGCAGCGCTTCAGTGCAGTCCGCCCGCCATCAGTGATACACATTGCACTGCATGGAGGGGCTGCAGTATAGTGAGGGCGTGCAATGCATCGGCTGCGAATGTATTGCAAGAGGCTTACGCACAATCCATGTGCCGCAATTCAATACATTACCAGTATCTGGCGCAATACAAGTGTGACACAAATGCACACCTGCAAAGCATTTGCAATACGTTGCCCGCGCGCAACGCAACGCGTTTTTGCAATGCTGGACAAACCACTCCGTGCCAACCGCGTCAAGTATCCAACGAATAGGCATGGCTCAACGCATCCAAACGCCATCACATCTGGACCGGCCCATCCCGCACTGGGAAACTGCTGGTAAGCCAACCTCGAATGCCGCAAAGGGTACACGGGCCAAACCCCACCATGGCCAGCAGCACCGACTGCGCGCCAAGTCGACGCCACTATCACTTGGGGATGGCACTGCACCTACAGCACTAGAAATTCAGGGTTTCGCCTTGCCCAACACCAGGTGGGCGCGCCTGCAGATGACTACACTGCTCAACTGCCACCCGAGATAGGACTTGATGGGTCAGAATCCGAGGCACCTCACCCAAAAGACAACAAGATATGTTTCTGCCCCTTTGTGGAATGGTCTTCTGAATGCTGCTACACCCCCTTCGCCGCGCACGTAGCTACTCTCGTGGCGTTGGATCAATGCACTCGGCTCTTGTGGATGTTGGTCTTCCCAGCCGCGGACTCTATTTCATGGAACGGGACTGACCACGCACAGCCTTCAGAAACGCTGGAGGAACCTGCGCTTGATGCGCGATTATGTTTTCGCCTGTAGTCCGCACTGTAGAAGACATGCTCTCCGCCAACGTTTTCTGTACACACGCAGGCAAGTTTCCGTCGGTGCTTTGAAAACACCGCGCGTGCGAGGGGGTCACGTATCGATGCCAACTTCCGCGGAGACTCCGCCGCAGGCACGCGCCCCCAAGCCCCGCAAGCTGCGCGCAATTCTCCGGCCAACGGCCTTTCAACTTGCGAGCACTTCCGCAGCCTTAGCCAACGCAATCATAAGTTAACAGACGCAGGGTCACGTCCCGACCGACCCCCTTGACAAGGGGGCGCACGCAACAGCGACCAAGAGTACCGAGTGAGGACGAGACGCCGCCACACTTACCAAACGTAGGAGTGATTCAGGAGGGCAAATGCCCATCGCGCCATCCAGGACCGCAGCGCGAACCCCTGACCAGGCATACTAGGCCAACTATCTTCGCGCTTCGCGCTCAGCCAAGCGCAGTTACCTTCGCGCTTTCGCGCCGCCCCCCCTGGAACAGAATGAGGGACTCGCGCCTCGCCCTAAATTCGCCCAGGCCGCGAAGCGCGACCAACTTCGCACCATCGCGGTGACCCTAGACATGCTGGCACCACCATGCTGGACCGGCGCACCGCGCATGGGGGAACCGCCAGCAAACCGGCTCCGAGTGCCGCACGGGGCACGGGCCACGAGTGTCATCGTGGTGCACGGGCCACAGCCCACCGTAGCCACAGGCACTGGCCCTTCCCAACGCCACTGCCTGCCAGTGTCGCGGCCTCTTTCTCTGCCAGTCGCCTTGGCCACACTCGCAAAGAGTATCGAGAGAAACCCCCGGCGGTACCCGCGTCATTCCTCGCCCTGCACGACACCCCAATCATTGCCACCACCGACGAATTATCGGCCTGGGATTTGCACAAAAGGCAGCCGACATCCACTCACCTTCTGCCAGAATCCCACCCAGAGGCGAGCCTGCTGCTGCAAAAAGCATCGCGCGGGCAACGAGGAAATCTTCCAACGCGCCATGGCCTGCAGACTGGTGGCCCATCAATACCAACAGACGGCGAGCGCGCGAGGAGGTACGCGCCAGACAAATCAACGCACTCCTCCCGGGCACTCTCTGCCTACAACTGGAGCGCCAGTGCGTGGGCACCGCGGCGGGCACTGCGCGCCAGCACAGGCTCACGTCCGGAGAAAAACGTGCCCCGCGCGGCCAGTTCAGTTCTTGCGCCCCGTGGGGCGGCAATGGGGCGCGTCGCCAGACCCGCGTTCTGTCCAACCCTGGCGGCACCGTGCGGGCAATGGGGCAGCTGCTTGGGTTCGCGGCAGTGGCCGCTGGTCAACCTCCAAATCGATAGCCTCGCGCTGCAGCCCTAGCAAGAACACCGACTACGCCAATGCTGCAATTTGGATCGAGTGCAATGCGGCATGTGCGCGGACTCCGCGTAGCGCGCCGATTGAGCTGCCCGCACGTCGAGGACCAGAACTTGGGCGTTGGCAGGACCGGGTCAGTGGGACCTGGTGCAGGGATGCGCACCGGGGGACGACCCCCAGCCCCATTCCACCCACCGAACTTGACTACCTACCAGACCACCCCAACCCAACCCGAAGACCCGAATTTCGGGTTGGGGGGGGTAAGGGTTCCATACGTGTTTTTTCGATGTTTCCCGAACCCCCCCCCACTGGAAATCGAGGGTAAATCTGAGCCTTCGGGTTGGGTTGGGGTGGTTTGGTAGGTGGTGAGAACTAGTCGCCACCCGAAGAGAACACCAACTACAGCAGCGCCTCCCGCTTCGCGCACCTCTCGGGCGCCGCCTAAAGTGCTCTGCCCTGGAGCCCGTTTTCTGACTTTTCGAAATAATCGCTCGTGACCGGCCCCTCCCCCCCCGCCCTTTCCCCCCCCCGCGGTCGCGTCACGATTCGCGCCAACGCCGCCGGGGAATGAGCCACTCTTGGTTTCTAGGCATTTCCAAAAGGCGCCGGCCCGAATGGTGACGCGACCGTCCCCCTCCCACCCTTGCTCCCCCCCTGGTCACGCCCGTTATCACCGGGAAATAAGAAACGGTTTCCAATCCGAACGCTCCTGGGCGCGGTGGCATATCGGGCCCCTGCCGGCGATGAGTGGACGGCTGCGGGGGCGATGCATGCCGCCCCCCCGAGCCCCATTCCCCCTAACGAAGACCTCGGACGTCTGGGAACGTGTCGCCGCCCCCCCCCCTGCTCACCACGCCCGTCATCGCCAGGGGATCAAAATCCGGTCTCCTGGAAGGGACTCTGCCCTGGCGTGCGGCGCCAGTTGCGAAAAAAACGCACTCTGGGTGCAGTGCCGTGCGTCTCCTGCAGCGTGCCGGGCGTGAGGGCAACCAATCGACGGATTGGAACCACTTGTCCAACCTGTCAGCTTAATCCAAACGCTCGGTCGCAATTTACAAGTTCCCCCCCTGACCTGCCGCCGGGGCACCTAACCTGATGCCGCCTCCACCGGCAGTGGGCCCCGCGCTCAGGCGAGAACTTTCTTTCGAGACTCTTCACGCCCCAAACACTCACCGGAGCTTCACGTCAATGCGGTTCCCGCGACCCGGGCGCCACTGCAGCCCACTGGCAGCGGGACCAGCATCCGATTCTGGGGGGGAGGCCGCAGATGGTAAACAGCTTTACCCCACACCTGCCCAGCCCGCCCTGGGGGCAACGGGTCTTGAGCGCAGCCTTCCTGCCCCGCGACGCCTTATGGACGAACGTGACTGCTGCGGCGCCAACAATGGCACGCAGCGTTGCGTCGGACACAGCGTGGGCCGCTCTGGTCTCTGCCAGCGCAGCCACTGCGGGCGCGACGATGGCGGAGGATTTTGGAGTCCGCGGCGGCTTTTCGCGCCCGCCCGCCAGGAAAGCATCGTGCGCGATATCGTGGGGCCGCCCCAACCAAGGAACGCGGCCCCCGTCACCGAACGTCAGATTTACGAGATCACGAATTGCCGCGGAGCCGGCTGTGTGACGCGAGCACCGCCGCCCGACCAGCCCGGGGCCCCCACCCGTCACGGCGACTCGCCGCCAGACTACAGAGCTACAGTGGAAACCTATGCCAAGAAACACCCTGCTTGTCTCCAGGGTGCTCTGGGTTTCTTTGGTTTCGGCGGTTTTGATTGTGGCAATCGTGACGTTCCCACACCAGAAATCAATAGACGTCCTGGGGTCTCAGGGTTGGGTTTCTTGTGGATGGTTTCTTGTGGTCGAGCTCCTACTGTAGGTTGTGAGTGACGGACTGATCAACGCAGGAAAACGACACCTAATCAGGGGCCTCGGTGTCTCAAGCTCTGCGGGCAGCGATGGCTTCACCCGAGTGGCGCCGCGGCTCCGGGCGCAAAACCGAGCGGGAGATCGTGGCTCTCGGGCCCCAGCGTCGACGGAATGCTTCTGTACTTTACGGAGGTGGCCTCGCTTCCGGTACCCTTAGGTCGGGCATGTCCCCCCACATGCCCTTCTATGGACGAACAATCAAACAAAGAATCAAACATTACTCAAGCATAGTCGAAAATAATCGAAAAATCATCCCCGAACTATTTGTTGACTATGTTTGAATATTCCTCCTCTAGAAGGACATGCCCGACGTAAAGGTACCATCCTCGCCGCACGCGCAATCCCTGGGAGTGGGATAGATGCAGATGTCCCTTGTTGGTGGGGGGGCCCCGACTCTGCTACATCCCCCCCCTTGCCGCACACATTCTCCCATCGAGCGGGATAGACCACGTACAGCCTTGAGCAATGCGGGAGGAGGTCGCACTTGAGACGCGCGTCCCCACCTGTGGACTGTACGGCAAAAAGAGATGTATTTCGCCAGGGTCCTTTCAGACCATGCCGGACCTATGTCCACCAGTGCGTTTGAGAACACGGGGGGCGCCATGTAGTCACGCCAGCTACAGCATAGACTCTGACTCTAGCCCTGGGAACTGCATGCAGTTCGCAGACAAACGGAGCTTCAACTTGTGCCTCACACGCAATCACGGTCGTGAACAACAACATCTGCATGCACGTGCGAGACCACCAGCGCTTGGCCCGAGCCCTCTCCTGCGCCTACGAAGGTGCGCCCCGCCTCCCAACCTTGCCCCCTTCATCTCGCTCCCTCCTTCCCTCCGTCCCCCACCTTATCCTTCTCCCTATGGGACACAGAAGATACCGACACGGCCACTACTCCGACCTCTCCCAGGATGCGATCTCACCAGAATTCCAAGGATCATCCCACCGTGGCAACGAGGGCCCCCCCCAGGAAGCCCAGGAGGCTAGAAGGCAAGTCCAACAAAATGGTATTTGCATCGAGGCGTTTTTCCTCCTTGACTTCCCTGCACTCCTGAAGGGGAACTGAGACACACAAACAAATATACACAAATAAAGATATCCCCCATATTTTCCCACATTTTCTGGGTTTTTGTCTTCCCCCCCACTTCCCATATTTTCCCATCTTTTCTGGGAGTCGCCGACTAATTGTGTCTGTGTGTTTTTTCCCCTCCTGCACTCCTTCCTCCCAGCAAGCCCGGCGGAGCGAGGAAGCCTCGCCCAGGCCATCCCCGCGCCGCATCCGCCGGCCAAGATGACCAGCGACACCAGGACCGTGGCTCCTCGGGGAAAAACGGGGCGAGCAACGACATATGTACGAAGGAGAAGGAGGACGAGGAGGCCTCGTCTTCCTCCTCGTTCCTCCTCGTTCCCTCCTACTCGTTCCTCCTCCTCGTTCCTCCTCCTCGTCCTCCTCCTCCTCCTCCTCCGTCTCCTCCTCGTCCTCGTCTTGCCTGCACGAACGTCCGCGTCGACACGCACTCCAGGGGAAACTAACCGCGTACGTGTACATATGTTGCCGGCCTCTGAAAAACAAGCAAGCGGCATGCGTGCCAATCGGTCGGAAGACGCAGGTAGAAGCACGGAGCAGGAAGGCGCTGAAAGCAGACTGGGTTCAGTCCGCCCCACTGAGGAGGACGGAAGAGGTGAAGCCACTCGATCATTGAAGTAGGAAGGCGCCGAGGGTAGGTTGGAATCTGGGAATCTATCCACGCAGATTTCTCAGGTGAGCGTTTTTTGATTCGGCGTTTCGACATTGGGCGGAAGGAGGGGAGGGGGGGGCCTGGCTCCGGATCGCTGCTTGGTGCGACTGTTTGGGACCGCGCGTCCGAAAGGGGAGACTCCACCTGCTCGAAACAGGCGCCAAAAACAGCCAAGATCTACTCCACGGGGGGGGGGGGAGGGGGGGGGGGTGCGAGGGCCCGTGCAGCAGCAGCAGGAAGCCAGGCGCCCAAACGGCGCAGCGGCAGTTCATGACCCTTCGAATTCTACATGCGAAGATTGCAGGCGTGATCAGAAAGCGTACGGGAAAACACACGCCGCCCACTGTAGCTTCGGGCGTCCGCGTTTGCGCTAGCGTTTGTTATTCATTATTTTGCCGATCGGCAAAATAATGAATAACAAAACGCTCGCCAGGTCGACGCGCGGAGCGCGCCGGGGGCGGCAGTGGCTCCGCCAGGAGCGGGTCCAGCGCCGACCATCGAGAAATCCGCGCGGACCTCCGACTGTTTGCTGTGCACGAGGAAACGACAAATCACATAACCATAAAATGTTGGCGCTCCGCTCGGGGTTCTTGGATCTTTGTCTTATCCTATGTATGCAATGTTTTTCTTCCTCGAGCTCCAGAGTCGGCAAAGCGGCCCTGGATGTCTACGTAGATGACCTGGCGAAGGGGGCGGTGAGGAGGAGAGGCGCGCTCTTCGATCGGACGGGCCCGCGCACTCTGGCCACTCACTGGTGGTTGTTCTGTTCGCTTGCTCTTTTGAAGATCGCAGCTGACGCGGGACCGTGGCGCTGGACAGGCGGAACTGGCTAATACATGCTCGGCCTCTGGACAATTCGACGTGAACTGCTAACATCTCAAGATGGGTGGACATCCCGCAGTAATCTTCAGAGACCCAACACCTCCTGTTCACCACAACCACCCACTCCACGTCAGACAAGGGGAAATGGACCCCCTGGCTCCCAACTGCCAGCCAGATATCCTCACCCCATGGCACAGAGCTGCGAACCAGATATCCTCACCCTCTGGCCCCGACCTGCCAGCCAGATTTGGTCGCCGCCTGGCACACAACTGCCAGGAAAATTATATCCTCATCCACCCCATCATATAAAACTGCAATCGATGTCCCGATCCAGACCAGCAACTGTCAAGTATCAATTATCGTTTGTCACTTCTGCCGTCAGCTCGTCTTCGGAAAATCAAATACGGGCTACGCCCGTAACCATCCAACTCTCTCAAGCACCCCACACCTCCTCATCATCTTCCTCCTCCTGCTCCTCCTTCTAAAACCTCCTCATCCTGCTCCTCATGCCTGCCCATCCTCCTCACGCCCAGAAACCTCCAGGAGGGCTTCAAGACGGCCCCAAGAGGACAAGACAGCACAATACGCACCGAAGTATGGACACGCGACTGCCTCGACCGAAGAGATGAGTGCACAGCCTCAAGGGAGCTTCCACACCACTCATACCCTTCTTTTGCATGGTAATCCTGCATCTGACTGCATGCCCAAAACTCACCGGCAGGGGGCTCTCTCCAAGCTGCCCTCGCAATTCCCCCATCTGCGGCCGGCACGGGCCCTTGCATACCGAAGAGAAGTGTGCAGACCAGCAATCCCTCCATCACGGTCACCATCGAACGAATGAGGTCCTCGGGCGCGCTCTGGAGCGCGTCGATGAGACGTAGGTCGGCAGAACGGGAGTGGGAGAACTGCAGTGGAGGAGGAGAGCATTATGGCGCGATGGACCGAGCGCCATGCAGCACGCACGCCGAACCTTATCATCGGACAAACTTACCACTGTGCTTTACTCACCTCCCCCCTGGGATGGAGATCGACGACCTTGATGAGGAGGCGACAAAGACGAGGACAACATACTACTAATTAACTCACTAGAAGAGGGGTTGGAGAGGTCCTGGTGGAAGCGGATCCTGGACCCTGGTGCGTTCCTCAAGACCGCCTCCTCGTCCTGAGTGGTGAATGGTTCTTCCTGACGGAGACGTGTGAAATTCCGTGTCCGTCGAAGCTCAGTGCATGACGTTAGCGGGGAGGTCGGGGAACACACTTTGCGCCGCCGGCGGGCGCCTCGCAACCGCAACCTACCCTCGCGCCCGCAGCCGCAGCCGAACGACACAATTTTTTGGGCCGTCCGCGAGCGAGCGCAACCGCAACGGCGCTCGTAACTGGGCCAGACATCTCGGACTACCCGCAGGTGCACGCAACCGCATTGGCCAACACGTTTTGGGCCGCCCGGGGCTGCGCGCACCGCGACCCCGCAACCGCAACCGCAACCGGGTAACCAATAGGGCGACGTGTCTTGGGCCGCCCGCAGGCGCGCCACCTCAACCGCAACCGCAGCGGGGCGAGACCTCTGGGGCCACCGCAGCCGCAGCCGCAGCCCTGCCCGCAACCGCAACCGAGCGACGCACGTTCGGCCGCCCGCGGGCGACTGCCACCGCAACCACAACCAAGCCCGCGGCCGCGACTGGGCCAGTTCACTGGGCGGCACCGTTTGAGCCGCCCGCGGGCGTGCGCGCCCACATGCCACGACCCCGCGATGCCGCCACCGCGCGGCACATCCCGGGCCGCCGGCGGGGCCGCTCAACTGCGCCCGCGCCCACAGACGGGCGGCACCGAGGGGCGTTCTGACCAGAACTTTGAAGCGAATCCAGCCGTGGTGACGAGGGCCGCCCGGGAGGCCCAAAAAGAGGAAACCGAGAGACGTGTAGCGGGATGGGTGCCCTTTTTCCTCCCTCTGACTCAAGCCGAGGGCGGCCAAACACCTCCCGCCATGAAAAACACGCAGGAAACGAAGTGCGTTCCCGGCGCCGAGGTGCGCACCCAAGCGGGCAAAGCTAACGGAGGAGAAGGCAGAGAGGCAAAGCTAAGAGAGAGGAAGGACTTCTTTCGGGGGGAGTCACGTTTGACCTCACCATATACATCCCACTAGGCCTTCGCCTGCTCTCACTTAGAAGCTATCTTGGTTTGGAGGGCCTCGGGTCCTGTGACTGGGGCTGCCGCGGCACTTGCCGCGGTCACGCATCAATCGCATGAGACCTCGCATATTGCCTCCCTCGTGCAGCGCGTAACCGGACAACGCAATACGTTTTTCCTTCTTGAACTCACTGTCGGACATGCCAGTGGTGGCCGAAAATCACTGCCGGCTTGACTCCCGCCGTGTATGTCTTACCGAGGCAATGCTTGCCACGTGGCAGCGCTTTGCGGTATCTCTAGAGACTACGACGTCTACGAATCAAGTCGGCCACGCGAGTGCCACGCTTACTCAGCTGCTTCGAGCCATCCCCGCGGCCCCCAGGGGGAAAACTCAACCCCAGAGGCGCCGCGTGGGCGCCTGCGGCCCGGCCATGGTCCCGAGCTTTAATCCGACGCGCCGCGGCATATCCGGGCGCCGGCCCCGCTCTTGACTCATCCTGGAAATCACGAGGAGACTCCCAGCCGCGCGGCCCAACGTGACCGATCGTGCGGATAGCACTGATCGCACCATCGTCAGCATCCACATGCGACGCCGCATCAACCTGGCCATTGCGCTGGCAGGAGCCGTCAAAGGGTCTGGGTGCGCATTTCCCGCGCGCTGATGTCATTGAGACACAACCCCGCGGTGGGACCACATTTGGCGCGCATTGGCACCGGACTGTGGCCCGTGCCCAAGCGCAGTACGCGTGGACCCCTCAGAAACTTGAACGTCGCCTTGACATCGGCAGGGCTAGGGTCGGCCTCGGGGACGCGGCCGCGAATACTGGTCACTCTAAGTCCCAATATTAACTCGAATCGCCCCCAGAGGCCCCGCCCGCGGCGCCCCTCCAGCCTCCTGAGCCGCAGCCTCAACAACATGCCCCCGCATGGCTCCATACCATGTACTTCCCGCTCCCGCCCAAAAAAGCCAGTACTTTCGAGGGTGGGGTCCCTTGAACGAAACGATAACAGCTTCGGCCTTCGGAATTCCGCCGCAGCCGCGCTGGGGCCGCGCGCGAAAAAGCCTCTGGGCTTGTCCAGGACGGGAGCAAACATCAAAAACAATGCCTTGGGAACCAGCTCAGGTCTTTCCGACAATCTGAGCAGGCAGCTCAAAACTTCGACACCGGCGCTGCCAAGCGAGGCGGACGGACGCGCGCGCACCCCATCCAGGAACTGCGCCGCGCGCGGGCTGACGGGCGTGCTGGCGCATGTAATCTCGGCAGGGATCAGGCGCTCAAAGCACTCGCGGCCCAGGACCTCCAGAGGCTCGGCCGTCTTGGGCGCGCCCCAGAAACTGTCTACCACGGCGGCTTCATTGGCATGCCACAAACGCGGGTGAGCTGCATGCGTTCCAGGAACCGTCTCAACCACAATGATCTCCACCTCGCTTTGGTACGCGAAAATTTGTGCACTCGCCTCGCCCAACCCCAGAGTGCTTCAGCCTGCCGCCGGTAGCGTCGTTGTCGAGGCCAGTTCTGGCTCTGAAAAATGAACGCCCCGGTCCTAGACCGATTGCGTGCAGCGAACGTCCACTGCGCACTGCGGGAGCCGGTCTGTCCTGATTCCAGGTCGCCACCAGATCTCTCGCCGCGCGAACGGTCAGACGGAGACGGGCTGACGGGCCCCCGCCTTCTTCAGACGGCTGCAGGAGCAACTGTGCCTAGCTTCCGCGCGCGACGCACTCGGCATGGCCCGCCAGGTCGCCGGCGTGGATGCGGAGGCTGGTCTTCGTCGACTCATCCAAAATCTGCTGGAGCCAAATCCAACCATCTCGAACTAGCACTTCCCTTCCAGGCTGCCATTTCGACATGAGACAACCGACGCCCACTTGGCGCGCAGAAGTTGGCCTCCTCAGCCGTGGCTCGCGCTCCCTGCCGCCCCCTGCAAGCCCCGGGGCCTGGGGGCGGCCCCGGGCGGGGCCTCCGCGGGGGGGCCCCGGTGAGTGTGACGCGCCGGCTTTTTCATGTGAAGCGCAGCATGGGAACGAGAGGCGCTGGCCGATGTGGGCGCTTCGTCTAAGTTGTGATGGCGGCGGTCTTGTCGACCAGCTCTGCCGCCGCCGGTGATGCCCTGCGCCGGGCGGCGTTCGAGCCCACGATTGCCGCGGCGCGCGTTTCGGTAGTTGCAATGAGAATCAGCAAGCCAACCTTACGCGTCAACCTCGAGAACCCGACGACGCCCCCAGAACGGCCACGCGTCGGCCCTCTATTGTCCCCCCGCCCTCTCAAGACGCCCAGGTTTCGCTTCGAGAGGCCCTCGCTCCGATGCATGCGCGCGCATCCGGCTGAGGTCGGCGGCCAATTCGGCGCATCGAGCATCGCCAAAATCAGCCCGCGGTCAACCGACGCACCTCGCGGCAGGCGCGCGGGCGAATAAATTCCGACGCCGGCGCGAGCAAGCGCCGCCCCGCCCGCGCCCGCCGATGACTGAGCGGCGGCGTAGACAACTGACGGCGTGGGAGACACATGCCATCCCGCGGTCGGATATCCCCCCGTCTTCTAACCGCGCCCCTCCTCTGTGGCCCCCATCTCTCGCGCGGGGGGGGCTGGCGCTGAGGCGCGAGCTGGGGACTGCCCAAACTATTGCCGTTCTTCGCCGCCGTGCCCTTGATTGCGGCGCGAAGTGGGGCGTCGTCAGGTCCTCTGCCTAATCCCCTGAGCCTCTGGCGTCGCTCCTGATGAATCTTTGCAAGGCCCTGGCGCCCATGCTCCCAGTGCGCCGCGCCAGATGAGAGGGGCGCTGCCCCGCTGAATGGCCCGGAAGCACGCGCGCGGCGTCCCGGAGAGCGCCGCTCCGCTCGACGGCCTCGATGCGCGCGCCGATTCCGGGAATGCGTTGCGTCGCTTCAACGGGGCGACGCTCCGCTAGTCCACCTCGCAGCATGCGACTCGCGAAATGCTCCGCGTCGGATGAGCGGAGCACCGCTCCGCTAATTGGCCTCGGAACACGCGCGCGGCGCCTGCCATTCCCCAGTCTCCCCGCGTCGGACTCGCGCGGCGCCGCTCCGCTAATTGACCCGCGCGCGCGCCGACATTGCTCGCGTCGCGCCCGCCCGCGGGGGCCCCCCGACAGGGCCCCCGCGACGCCCCGGCGAACGCCCGCGAAGCTTCGTTCGCCCCCAAGGCCCCGAGAGGCCTGGAAGAGGCCCCAATGCGGCCCCCCAGGAGACGCCAATGCTGCCTCCGAGAAGCCCTCGAGAGGCCCCCCACGAGATCCAAGAAAACGCCCAGTGCGCTGCGTGTCCTCCGCCCAGGCGTTGACCCCCCTGCGGTGTCCGATGGGTTTGGCCTTCTGCTTCTGCTCGGTCCCCAGCGGCCCCCGCGCCGCCCCGAGATTGCCCGGGAAGCGCGCGAGATGGCCGCCAGGCGGCCCAAGAGGTTTCCGAGGCGGCCCCCGAAGGGCCCCAAGACGGCCCAGGTGGCCTCCAAGACGCCCGAGGCGGTCAAGACGGCATCGAGCGTTCCGAGAGGACCCTGGGGCGACCCAGATGGGGCTCATAAGACGGCCTCCGACGGCGCCGCGCGGGCAAGGAACGCCGCAAGACGGCCAGGGAGGCTCCGACGGAGTCCCCAGAGGTCCCCGCGAGTCCCTAGGAGGCCCCCAGGAAGCCCTGCGGAGGCTTCCAAGTGGCCGCCAGGAGGCCGCGATACAGAAACAATACAATCCTCAGAAGCCGACCTAATCATCCGTCTTTTCGCGCCCACTTCCCCCCCCCCCCCGCGCGTTCCCCGGGCGGGCCCCCGCAGCGGCCGAGGGCGCGCGTGGCCCAATGGCGTGGCCGGGGCATGCCCGAACTATTGGCCGCATGGGCGGATCCTGCAAGGCAGGGGGCGGCGGCGACTCGCCACGGGCGCCTTCGATAACTTTCGCGCGCCAGCGGACAGCCGCGCCCCGAGGGCGACATTTGGAAACGGATGCAGGGGGGTGCCCCAGCCGTGAAGTGCCCCTGCGCGACGTCGGAACGCACCCCGCCCCTTGCGACTCCCGGGGCGAATTATTTTTCTCCTTGGGCGACGCCAGACCCAACTCCCCGTTCGGTTCGCCCTGGGTGGCGGCCAGCGCTTGGCCTGCCAGTGGGCGGACAGGGGGTCGAGGACAAGTTGTGCCCCTTGACGAGATGCGCGCCCGTGGGTTTCCTCTGGGGTGGCCCTTAGTGCGCGGAGCTCACCGGGCCAGAGGACGTCAGGGCGGCTGCAGACCACCTTTGTTTTGGTTCGCTTGAACTCGCTCTGGTTCGCTTGAACTCACCCTGGGCGAGCGGATCAAGGATGACCCGCTTGTCGCCCTAGCGAGACTCGCAGAGCTGCTCTGCATCTGCATCCTCCTGGGTTGCGAAGAGGCCCTCCATGTTGGTACCAAGTGCGTGGGCAGCCACGGCGCAACCGAACGACATGGTCGACGCGCGTTGCGCACCCCTTGCTGCCTGAACCTCCGCGAAGAACTCCGTGCACTCATTGAAAGCTTCCGACTCGAGCGTGGACTTGATGGCGTCAATGCCATCGAGCAATTACGCTGGCAGCTTGATGTCCACGCCGCCGCCGCCACTGCCAGCGCCGGCAGCCAGGGGTGACTTCTGGATATCGCTGCGGATCTGCCCCGCCGCCTGGTGGATAGCGATGCGTTGGCCTCGGGCTCATCCCTGCGCGCCTCAACCTCATTCGCCGCCATTCTGTGTCGACCAGCTCCGTCGTGAGCCCCTGGGGCTGCTTCCGTTTGCGAGCGAGCTTGTGCCCCAGGCTTGCGCGCTGCGTGCCGTCGCTTTTCTTGGCCACGAGCTCTTTTCGCGCATCTCGCAGCTGCGCCTCCGGTTGAATGCGCACTTGCTCCATGCGTGGGCTCTTGCACGCTTTGACCGTCAACTCCAGTTCATTTGTTTGCACGGCGCGCGGGTCTTCACTATCGGCCGATTGTTGTCCTGCTCCACTTTGCCCTCCGCCTCCCGGCGGCCTGGGCGTCGTGGCATGTGTTTTTGTTGATGAAGCTGCTGGGCTGCTTGCAAGAAATCGCCAGCTCTTTTTGGAACTTTCGCTCTCCCGACTGTCCATCGTCATTGGCCCCACCCCCTGCGCCGCCCCCACCACGAGAACGAGGAGGAACAATGACATCATGGCCACCGAAGGCCTTGCTCCGCTCGATGACGTGCGGCGCGGCGCCTGTTGTCCGCGTCGGCACCGTAAGCTGCACGCCCGATTGGACGTGAGCCCGCAGGCTTGGCAACCCTTCAGGGGAAGCCTCGAACCCTTGACCACATCGCTATTTCTGTGTTCCGTCTGGCACGTGCGAAGGGAAGGCTGAAATCCTTCCGACAGCACTGAGGACCACACTGGCTCGCAGCGGCGTTTGCCGCTGTGCCGGTTGCTGTTGCAAGCCCTAATAACAACTTGGGCCAGAAGGCTGCTTGAACAAAAATGTATGTGCCCTGGACAAACAAACTGGGCGACAGAAGCCGAAGGAAGGTGCCCGAGGTGCTTGCATGATTTCACATGCAGTCGGAAATCGCAACAGCATGAACGGCGGCACGGACCCGCCCCAGGCGTCACATCTGTGCCGCCGTTGCGAGGCGCCTCGAGATGCCACCCCGATACACGGCCACCGGCACCACGCCCACTTGGCCGCCGGCCTCAAGCAGCGGAGACCCCGTTGCCCAAGGACTTCAATTCCCGCGCCACCCACGTCGGGGGACGCCTTCGAATAACTCCATCGGGCCTCTCACGGGTGGTACGGCGGGCCCGCACCTACTGTGTCGCTGGCCAGCCACAGGGCAAGAGTCTGAACCCCACAGCCCCGTCGAGTTGTGGTCACGATCGGACTGCCAATCCGCCTGTTTTCCTGGAATGCCACGAGAGCACCCAGCGGCTCACGTGCCTGCTTTAACCAAAATGGCTTGAGCCAGAATGGCTACGGACTTGAAACACAAATGGATACGGGGGAGGAGTAGGAGAATACTTGTACGGGGAGGAGGACACGAACACAACAGATGGAGGCAGAGAGAAGGAGAGAGAGAGAGGGGCAAAGGGAGAGAAGGAGGAGGGTGAAAAAGAGGAGGAGGAGGAAGAAGAAAAACAGGACACACACACACACACACACATCGTTATGGGCGTAACGAGGAGTACAAGTCTGCCGCGCGGGCGCGCCGCGCAAGGGGCGGGGTCCGCCCCAACGTGCAGGAGCGCTGACTGCATGTTCATCGACGGGCCGGTATTGACCTGGAGGCACTCCGTATCCTCCTGATCCTCCTCCTACTCCTCCTCTTCCTTTTTCCCTGGCCTCGGTCCATCAACAATCCGACGTTTCCTCGCCCACGTCAGGCGGCCACGACGGAGGAGGAGAGCAATTTCACACGCGGGTCTGCAGTACCTCCCACCGTCACCATGCCAACTTCCTGTAGAGCGGGCCTTCAGACGTCCAGAACAGCCAGCGTCGTCCTGGGCAGCGTGCGCCATGAGTCGACATCGGGCGCTGGGACGACTGGCCACCCAACTTGCCCAACAACCAGACAGGGGCAGCAGCCATGGGAACTGAGCAAGCAAAAAAGAGGGGGCCGCTCCCCTGGATACCGCCATGTTTATCAAAATGTTGCGGGCCTGCTATGATAAGCAGCCACGAAAATCAATGGATAAGGGTGTGGCCTTCCCTGAGACGCAGCCGCCAGACCAAGAACATCAACCCTTGGGCCTCAACACCAAATTGACCCAAACCTTGCTAGATGTTAAGAAGAACAACAACAAACGACATATGAAGGTCGGGGCCAGTCGGATGTTTTGCGCAGAAGCTGACCAGGCCCTTGACGAGGATCGGAATCACACCAAAGAGATGCGCGCGCAACTTGCCATACATGAGAACACCCTCAAAACTGCCGGCTCGGCAATCCACGCACATACGGCCGATATATTCATTCTCAGCAAAGACGCACGAAAACCTCCTCCCTCCTCCTCCTCCTCCTCCTCCTCCTCCTCCTCCTCCTCCTCCTCCTCCTCCTCCTCCTCCTCCCCCTCCTCCTCCTCCTCCTCCTCCTCCCCCCTCCCCGTCCCCCACTTCCCCCCCTCCCCCCCCCTCCTCCCCCTCCTCCCCCTCCTTCCCCCTTCCCCCCCTCCTCCCCCTCCTCCCCCTCCTCCTCCTCTCTCTCCTCTTCCTCCTCCTCTCCTCCTCCTCCTCCTCCTCTCCTTCTCCCTCCCCCTCTCCCCCTCCTCCTCCACCCCCCCCTTCCTCCTCCTCCTCCTCCTCCCCCTCCTCCTCCTCCTCCTCCTCCTCCTCCTCCTCCTCCTCCTACTTCTCCTCCTCCTCCGTCTCGACCTGTGTCTGCGGGGCGGCGATCTCGTCGTCGGGGGCCTGCGCGAGGTGGGCGGCCTCGCGCGAGGGGCAAAAGGGGTTCGGGCTCTGATGACGGTGGGCGCTCGAGCGTGCACTGTGAGGACGCCAGAGAGGCCCCGGAAGTCACACCCGAGCCACCTCGCGGCGCTGTTGTTCCAAGGTGGCCATGCGAAGCACCTCGGACAATCATATGTCGAACAAAATATATGCGCGGCGCCAGAGGCGCCGCCGGGGGGGCCCAGCGTGGATCCAAGAACTCCGCGCGGAGAGCCACACATTCAAATATTGACCATGAGAGTGCTGGAAACATTCGGTGTTCCGCGGGCACGCAACCACCTTTGTGGGCTCTCGCCCAAGCGGGACACGTCCCGTGAGCTAGTTTTTCGGTAGTTTGGGCTCAGGCTCCCAGAGAACAACAACACATATCAAAAGCATACCGATTCCTTGAAGGTAGGAAGGCACTTGAAGTAAATTGGAATCGAGATCTAGAGGCTCCTGCTTTCACCGACTGGCGTTTGTTCCCTAGCACCGAATTTCCACATTCGAAGCATGGCCAGAAAGATGTGGGTCAGGAACACTCAAGGGGCCCTGGGACACACACACACACACAAACACACACACACACACACACACACATCGGGTGTTGCTAGAAGTGCCCCTGGCCCAAGGTGCACCCAGTTTTCCCTTAAATTTTGGAGCCCCAGGGGTCTCTGGGCCTCGTGAGGGGTGCTCTGGAGGCCGCCTGGGCCACCCCGAGAATCCTGCGGGTACCTTGGGCCAGAGGCAGTTCTGGCAACAGCCGAACACATAAATGGACACAAATAACAGGATCCCCCATACTTTCCCATACCTTCAGGGTTTCCGTCCTGCCCCCACTTCCCATATTTTCCCATATTTCCTAGGAAATCGACGATTCATTGCGTCTGTCTGGTTTTCCCCTTCTGAAACACCCGCCCCGTCGCCGAAGGCCCGGCTCCCCATGGCCCGAAGGGTGCGCGGGTCAGGCGCACGGGTCCCCCGACGAAAAGCCACTTCCCAGTGGCCCACAAGGACGTGCGCCAAGAACACGAGCCCCTTTGTTGGGCGTGGCTTACTGGCGGGATCTCATACATGGGAGGGGGGTCTGGAACGGTCCTCTTTCGTGCCCCTTTCGGGCCCCTCCGGACCCCCCCCCGGGCCTCGTTTGGGTACCGTTCGGGTACCTTCTCGGACCACCCTCGCCACCATTACGCAACGCCCAATTTCGTCGACGGTCTAATGCCCAGTGCGAGGAGCATTCCAGGGTGGAGATCTCCCGAACTAGAAGAGCACGAGGGTATTCCTCCAGAGCGACGGCATTCTTGTCCCTCAGCTGCCCTCCCCTGCTTCCTGCTCGTTGCAAGGCCACTCTCGAAAAGTGCGCTCGACTGGGAGCGCCCTCGACTCGTTGAAGCCAACACTGCGCATTTGAAGAGCGTTGGTCATGAAACGGTGACGGAGATGCGGCCCTCGAGCATTAGATGAACTCGCTGCTGTGCCCCAACTTCGGGTCCATACAACCTGGAATCCCCAATTGACCGAGCCTGCCGGAATCGAACAGCCGCCACATAATAAAGAACACATCACAGCGTCACGCTGCACAACCTCGCGTCGAAGATATTCCTACTCAGGCGGAGGTGGAGGACGAATATTAGGAAAATAGTAACACACGTATTATATATCCAGCTCTGCAACAAATTTTCGGTACTTCATGATTCGGGAGAAAGGTCGGTCGAGTTCCCATGACTTCAACCTTCAGCCTCCGACAATCATCACAATTTGACATGGAGGCGCATGCCTGGCCGTCGCTGGCCTTGTTACCGTCGACCTCCGCTTGGTGAAGGCAAAGTGTGCAGGCGGATAGGATGTCGGCGACGACAAGGAGAAGGACGAGCGAGGGGAGAGGAGGAAACAAGGAGGAGGAAGCGGAGGCGGCGATGCGGTGACAGAGGCAGAGCCACATCTGTCCTCGCTCTCTCCTTCGTCAATGCTCCCCTCCCCTCTGCCTCCAATGCCCTCCTCGCCACGCTCTCGCCTCTCGCTCCGCTCCCTTCACCCCTCCCCTGCTCGCCCATTCGAGACAAAGCCAGGACGAGGATAAATGTGGGTGAAGATGAATCGAGAATACCCACGATCTGGCAGCTCTGGAAGATGTCTCGGGCGCTGCGGCCTTCTCAGAGCGTTCCAAAAAGCTCTGAGAGAGTTCTGGAACGCCCTGGAACGGATTTATCCTCATCCTAGCCACGCCCGATGAACCCCTCACCTGCTCGCCCATTCCCTCGCCTCTTCCCGCTCCTCCTCGCCCTCCTGCCCCTTTCCAGCCATTCGTCGCCCACGTGCGCCCAGCCGCCGGGGGGCGCGCAGCGATGCGGCGGTCGGCTAGAGAAAGGCACTGCTGCCGCGAGCCAGGGAGCTGCCAGCGCGCTGGCGTCACACGCCAGCGGGTTGGGTGGACTCGGGTTGGCCTGACGGGGACATCACGAAAATGACGAGACCCAGTCTGACATTTGACGCCATTTTCCGCTGCACTTACCCCACGGACACCCAACGTCCAGTGCGCGGTCGTCAAAAAGCGTTGGCGAACCCAAGATCCGGCGTACTCGAGTTTTACGTTTTCTTGGCAGACGGGCAGAAGAGAGAAAAAAAAGGGGGGGAACCGTGGCTCGCAAGAGGCGGCCGCGGGGGTGAGTTGGATGTGCTGCTGGCGCCCGTGCACCCGCAAGTACGTGAACCACGGGCCCCCGAAGTACGACTCGGTCTGCCAATGTGTTGCAGTCGGCGAGGTGCTGTGGGGGCCACAGCGGGACATCCAGAGTTTGATGCTGCTGCGAGGAGGCGGGCACGGCCGGAAATCATCGCGATGCACGCGCAGACGAAAGCCGCCCGGTACAGCGACGCGTCTTGTTGAAGCACACGCCCACTTTTCGGAAGATGGGGGAAGCCTGGTTGCGCACTGACCCACCCGTCCGAGGGCGTGTGCCATTTGTACTTGCTCCTCGGGCAGTCGTTACCCTTTTCATTCAACGCGTTCGGTTGGGTTGAAAACCATATGCAGAAGTACGGCATGTGCCCATGGCAGCCTCACGCCCCCCACAGTGGGCGCAACTTTCCAGAGTAACCTGGGCTATGCTAGAGCACTCGGAATCGCAAAGTCGGTTTGGGCGCGATTGTGATCAGTACCAGTGAGCATTCGTTGTTTTCTCGCTGGTGCAAGGTCCGCAGCGCATATTGCTTTGTGGAATCACGAGGTGCAGTTCATCCACTGAGGCCCCGAGCACGCTTGGCCCTAGCAGTGCAGATTATGATATTCCATGATCGCCCTGCCCCTCTCCACCTCGTCCTCATGCTCGTACCTGGGGCCCTCATGCTCCTGTGCTGGCGGAAGCTCCAAACAGCCGAGTGGAAGCACGCCCGGCACAGGTTCGAGGGGCACGCATGCGCACGAAAGTGGACGTCCATGAAGTCATCACGAACAAGGGTCACATGATATGCCTGCTGTGGGGCTCATGCATCGATGAGGCAGCTGCCAGGCAATAGCAAGCTTCGTCAGCTATGCGTCAATTTCTTGAAAGATCCGAACGGGCCATCGACTTGGTACGAGAAGGCGAGCGCCCTGCACAGACTCATATGTTTTCCTAGTGTTACACGCCGCCGCGCACGGTGACTATGTATATGCATATACGTGGCAAGGTCGTCCCGTCTCGGCGGTTGGACTCTTAGCGGGTCCCTCCCCCACCCCTACCCCTGGGCTACACGCAACAGTGACCCTAGGCTAGAGTCACCTTTGGTGTGCGGCTTTCTGGGGGCCGCGGGATGGCCTAACCTGGACATGCAAGCCGCTGCCACCGCTTCGCGCTCAGCGCTCGGGGGCTCTGCTGTGAATAGCGTGACGCCCCCACACCAAGAACCAATGGACGTCCTGGGGTCTCAGGGTTGTGCTTCTTGTGGAAGCGTTGTTGTGTCGAGGGCGCGCAAACATGGATTAGCGATCCGTGGATTTGGCGCGCGGTCGCCAAATCTATGGATCGTGGGAGGTGCCCTCCCCAAAATGTGGCCGGTGCCGCCTCGTTCGGCGGCGGACATCCGCGACTTCCCCTGGAAGCGGGCCCCGTCGCTAATCCACGCCCCCTTGATCCATGGTTGCGATCGCCCGATTGTGGTCGGGCCCCCCTTCTGTATGAGGGGGCCCTGGGACACACACACACACACACACACACACACACACACACACACACACACACGCACACACATAAATAGACACACATAACAGGATTCCCCCTATTTTCTGGGCTCTCGTCTTCCCCCCCCCCACACACACACACACTTCCCATATTTTCCAACATGCTCCTGGGAGTCGACGACTCATTGTGTCTGTGTGCTTTCTCTCCCCCTCCTGACTACAGTCGCTCCCCCTCCTCCATGGCGAGCGCCTCCCCGCAGCCCCCTGCCAGGCCGACGGGCGCCCGCCAGGCGCACAGGCCCAGCAGCGCCAGCCGGCGCGCGGGGGGCGGCGACGGTGGGCCAGGCGACGGGCGCGCACGGCGGCCCCCCCCCTAAAACAAACACAGCCCAGAAGCCCCGGGCACTTTCCTCCGAGAGGCGCAGCACCAACGAACACGAGGACCCGCCCGTGCACGCGCTGTGCGGGGGACGTGCGGGCCGAGGATGCCGTCGCACCTCGGACAGAAGAGCATCCTCCCAAGAACGCAAGGCCCTCCGCCCGCCAAGCTGAAGAACATGTGTTCGAGGGGTACCCCTCCCCCAGGATGCACAAGAGCATCCAACAACCACGAAGACATTAGGGTACCCTCCCCGAACCGACCTCGATCTTCTACCTCGGTCCGACTGTACTGCTGAAGCCCACGACGTCCAGAACCCCGTGGTGGCAGCAGCAGCGGTGCAGCCAGCGGTCAGCGCGGCCATGTCCCTCGGGCTCGCCCGTGTCCCATGCTGCGCCAGCGTACCGATGGACTGTGGGCTGCCGCGCCCAGAACAGCTGCGGTCGATGAGCTCCTGCATTCAGGAAAGCCCTCGTGGTGGCGGGGCGGAGTTTGCTGCGATCGATCCAAACTACGAGCGCAGTGTCAAGGATGTTGATGGGCCCATGTTCAACCAACACTGCCATGGGTAGGAGAGGGAGGAGGAGGAGCAGGAGGAGGAGGAGGAGGAGGAGGAGGAGGAGGGGGAGGAGAAGGGCAGGAGGAGGAGGAGGAGAGGGAGGAGGAGGAGAGGGAGGAGGAGGAGGAGGAGGAGGAGAGGGGAGGAGGAGGAGGAGGAGGAGGAGGAGGAGGGAGTTGGACCTCCTCAGCCTCCCTTCTCCCCCGTCCTACATATGGTAGTGGTGGTGGTGGGAAAAAGGCCCATCGAATGTGGTGCGCGCTCTGGGTGGTGGGGCCACTCGAGTCGCGGGCACCCGGTCGTGGTCTTCTGAAAACGACACGTGCGGCACAACCACGCCTGCGCCGGTCTGGTGCTCACTCCTCCTCCTCCTCCTCCTCTCCTCCTCATCCTCCTCCTCCTCCTCCCTCCTCCTCCCCTCCTCCTTCTCCTCCCCCCTCCTCCTCCTCCTCCTCCTCCTCCTCCTCCTCCTCCTCCTCCTCCTCCCCTCCTCCCTCAAGCACAGGGGAGCGGCGCGCCGTAGTACCATCTTTGGGCTCTCGGATGTAGCACCATTCCTCTGCCTCCCGCCTTCTCGCGGCGCTTGAGGGACACCTTCGCGTTGAATATAGCTTATTAGTATTCAAGCAGGGTTGACGAAGGGAGGTCAATGTTTATTTCATGGGCTTCGAGAATTTCAGTTTCGGGTACTCGTTCTGGAATCTCGTACAGGTGCTTGATCGGGTCCTCTCGGTTTTCGACAGGTTCCTCGACCAGTTGCGCCTTGTCCTGAACTTCCTTGTCAAGGTCCGTCCCAGGGGAGAGTGGTGCCTTTTCAAATTGGCCTTTATTCCACCTTCCCCTGGGCGTACTACGTCAATTTTGTGGTGAGTTCTGTACACGTTGTGGTCTGGGAGGTTTATTGCATCCTCGTGTCTTTCGGCACCCTTTTGCCACGGCAGGGGCATTGTGCTTATGGCTCACATCGGGGGTGCAGTTTCCGCTTCCATTCTTCCAGCTGTATGTATCTCATTTTTTCATGCCTAGCACGTTTTGCTATTGTCGTGGGCGAGGCTGGCTGTGGAGGAGATAATCCCCATTCTCTCGAGATGGGTGGGGTTGCCCGACAAAGTCCGTACCGGTTTATGATTGGTGTTATATCCACGTCACCGCGTCCGTTCTGGGCCATATTGATTCGAGTTCATCCCAGCTTAGCCTGTCGCTCTACGAAGGTGCAGCCACTCGTGTCGGTCGAGGTGTGTGAGAGCTCTGGTGATGGGAATTTCGTTCCTCCTCTACATCTTCCGCCTGTACTTCGTCCTCTGAGTGGTGTCGGTTCTCATTAGTTTTGGTAATATCACCTCGTGATGGCGTCCACTCCACTCCACTCCACTCCTCCCCCTCCTCCTGCTCCTCCCCCTCCTCCCCCTCTCCTCCTCCTCCTCCTCCTCCTCCTCCCCTCTCCTCCTCCTCCTCCTCCTCTCCTCCTCCTCCTCCTCCTCCTCCTCCTCCTTTCTCCTCCCCCTCCTCCTCCTCCTCCGTCTCCTCCTCCTCCTTCTCCTCCCTCCTCCTCCTCCTCATCCCCCCTCCCCTCCCTCCTCCTCTCCTCCTCCTCCTCCCTCTCCTCCACTTCCTTCCTTCCCCTCCTCCTCCTCCTCCTCCTCCTCCTCCTCCCCCTCCTCCTCCTCCTCCTCCTCCTCCTCCCTCCCTCCTCCCCTCCTCCTCTCCTTCCTCCTCCCTCCCCCTCCTCCTCCCTCCTCCTTCCTCCCCCTCCTCCTCCTCCTCCTCCTCCTCCTCCTCCTCCCTCTCTCCCCCTCCCTCTCCCCTCCCCCTCCTCCTCCTCCTCCTCCTCCTCCTCCTCCTCCTCCTCCTCCTCCTCCTCCTCTTGCACATCTGCATGCTGAGGCAAGACCTCCCATCTTTCCTGCTCTTCCTCTGCTTGAAGCGAGAACGTGGTCATGGCAGACCGGACTGCGCATTCCCCAATAATAGAAGCCAAGGACCGCCAAGAAATCGAATATCAGACCTGGGGACTGCGAGTGTTCCGAGATGGATTGATGGAGGCATAATAACATTGATGCACACGATGTGGAGGAAGAACAAGACGGATAAAATACCATGAGCGAACTAACGTAATTTCTACCATTTGAGACAATGGCAAGAACACACACACACACACACACATTCCATCTGTGGACGATTCAAATGCGCAGCTGTGAAACATGACCAGCTCTGCGGACATACGTTTGGCTCATGGTCACACATTGGGCCCGCGTACAAGAGGTCAGCACGCTGTCATATCTTTCAGTCGTCTGGGTCGATATTTGAAAGCTGCCCTGGCTTTGGACCTGCGGGCACATCTGCCACGGTAACGGCCCACGCTGTCCCGAAACATGGGTCGTATGCTTCACCGTGCCTCGGGGCACGCAGTGGAGTATCCTCCAATCTTTACTCCTCTCTTGAATTGAAGTATGTACTCCGTACGGTCCCCACAGCCTGGAGTTCTGGGTATCTGGGGCGCTCTCGGGGCTGCCTCGCGTGACGTACCTCCCTGCCCCTGCCCCTGCCCCTGCCCCTGCCCCTCCCCCTCCCCCCTCCCCCTCCCCCTCCCCCTCCCCCTCCCCCTCCCCCTCCCCCTCCCCCTCCCCCTCCCCCTCCCTCCCCTCCCCCTCCACCTCCCCCTCCCCCTCCCCCCTCCCCCTCCCCCCCTCCCCCTCCCCCCCCCTCCCCCTCCCCCCCCCCCTCCCCCTCCCCCTCCCCTCCCCCTCCCCCCTCCCCCTCCCCTCCCCCTCCCCCTCCCCCTCCCCCTCCCTCCCCTCCCCCTCCCCCTCGGTCTCAGAGGCCTCCAAGCGGACTCCGAGAGGCCCTCCAGGAGAGCCCGAGGATACAGGAACTATTGATTTTCTAAAAAGTGTGAAGAATGTGAGATTCTCGCTTGTTTGGGTTTGCGACCGCCCAAGATGATCCAGGAGGCTTCAGCAGGGCCCCAAGTCGGCCCAAGAGGAGACTGCCCGGTGAGGCCGCCAAGACTGCCTCCGAAAGCGTCAGACGGGCCAAGAGCCCCACAAGACGGCACGAGAAGCCCACAGAGATCCCGAAGAGATCCTCATGAGGCCCCGAGGGGTAACACATCTCATGTTCCTTGGGTCTTTGACCGCTTTTAAAACTCTCGCCTGTCTGGGTTCCCGAGCGCCCAAGGTGGCCCAAGAGGCCTCCTAGGCAGCTCCAAGACAGCCCATGAGGCCTCGAACAGGGCCCCAAGTCGGCCAAAAAGGACTCCATGAATGATGGCCCAAGGGGCTCCCAAGAGAACCCCAAGACGGCCCCTGGGCCTGCAAGACGACCTCTGAATGCGTCAAACGGTCCCAGAGCCCTCTGAGACGGCCCAAGGAGGCCCCAAGAGGCCCCAAGAGGCCCCGAAGGGGGCTCCGAGATGCCCTCCAGGAGAGCCCGACGAGGTGACAAACACATTGAGTTGCGTAAGGTTGTTCGTGGATGTTGGTGTTCTCGCCTGTTTTGGTTCCCGATCGCTCACGACTGCCCCAAGAGGCCTCCAAAATAGCTGCAAGACAGCCCATGAGGCCCCCAAGAGGACCCCATGTCGGCCCACAAGGACTCGAATATCGCCCAAACACCTCCCACGAGGGCACCAGGACGGCCCTCAAGCGCGCCAAGAATGCACCAATGTAGCCCGCAGAGGCCGCCAAGATAGCCTCCGAAGGCGTCGAACGGGCCACGAGCCCCCTAAGACGGCCCGAGAGGCCGCAGGAGGCCCCCAAAGAGCCCTCAAGAGGCCCTTTGGAGGCCCCCAAGAGTCCTTCTCTCCTTTTCTTCATCTCTCAATTTCCTCCTTTATTCTCATCCTCCTCCCTACCGCACGGACGGCAGCGAGGTCGAGACCCCGATCCTCCCAAATTCAGACCGCTCGCGGGACTGCCGCGGGGGCGTCGACGTCTCCCCCTACCGAGCGGACGAAAGCGGGGTCGAAATCACAATCCGTCCTCGTTCAGACCATTCGTCGATTCGGCTGCGGGCCGTGAAATCGACCCTCTTCTTACCGTGCGGTTGCAGGGGAGGTCGAGTGTACGCCCCGCCCCAGGTCTGACCGAACGCTAAGATGCAACTGGCGTGAATTCGACCTTCTCCTTATCCTTCTCCTCTGCCTCTGCCGCGAGGCGTGAGCTCGACCACGTCCTACCGCGCGGAAAGAAAACAAGGTCGAACCCACGCCTCGCCCAGATTCGGACCGCTCGCTGAACTGCTGCGGGGCGTGAACTTGGTCACTTCCCTGCCGCGCGGACGGAAGATGAGGTCGAGCTCGCGACCCGTCCCAGCTCGGACCGCTGGTCGAGATTGCGCCCTTCCTGCAGTCAACCGCCTTCCTGCTGCGCTGATGCAAAGGGATGGTAGCGGGGTTAGCCGCAGCCGCAGGCAGCCGGATAGCTACTGCCTCGCTCGTGCCGAACGCACGCAGTCTTGTGCTGCCTAGATCTCACCAAGCGGCTGCTACTGGTACAGAAAACTCACGCAAATTTGAGAGCTGGGTGTTTTGGCATATTGTCAAGCCCTGGGACCTTCAGATATCGGTCTGGCTCGAGACAAGCAACAGACAAACGGGGTCGAGGGCTCTGGTCGTGATGCATCATAGAACAAGCCTCCTGGCCCGACCACCCTGCATACCGCGGCCGACAGATCCCCAGGTCCACCGAGTATCCCCCGAGACGCCCGCCTCGCGCCGACCCGGTCCATTCTGCATACCGCGGCCCAAGTCCACCAAGAATCTCCCGAGACGCCCGCCTCGCGCCGACCCAGACATTCTGCAGACCGATGCCGCCACATCCCCGGGGGAGGATCTCCGGATACGCCCGCATCGCGCCGAAGACGAACACGACAGAGCCTGACATAACTGAGCATAGCATGACGTGATAAAGCAGAGTATAACGTTGCATAACCTGTAAGAACATACCATAATCTAACGCAGCATCACATAACATAGCTCACTATAACAACGCATGATCCGACAGGGCTCAACCTGAACAGTGTTTTCTGTTCACGTTTCGCTTTCGTTTAAAAACTAAGTTTGAGCGAAAACGCCGGCCGGCGTCGCGCGGGCCGTTCTGGAACAAAACAGCGGGTGAATAAAACAGCGGCCCCCGAGCAGCCGAAAACGAAACACATAGCAGAACGGTGGCACGGCCGCGGGCCACCAACAAAACGGAACAAAAACTAAACGAGCGAGCGCCAAGGAACAACGACGACGACGACGAGTCAAGTGAAGATTTAAAGCAGCGAGAGCGCGAGTAACAATTTAGGCGGAGATCTAGATAAAGATTAAATCCGCGAGGGAGCGAGTGACAATTTAGGTGGAGATCCCAGCACAACCCCCCAGCACACACTCGCACAGCACGACCCCCAGCACAACCCTCCTCCGCACCACCCCCCTCCGCAAAATCCCCCAGCACACACCCCCAGCACTACCCCCAACACAAACCTCCAGCGCAATCACCCAGCACAAACCCCAAGCACATACCCCCCCCCAGCACAACTACTCAGCACAACCCCCCCAGCACAACCCCCCAGCACCCCCCCACCTCCCAGCACGACCCCCCAGCACAGCCCCCCAGCACAACCCCCCAGGCACAACCCCCTGGCACAACCCGCTGGCACCCCCCCCCCAGCACAACCCCCCAGCACAACCAGCACAACCCCCTGGCACAACCCCCCAGCACAACCTCCGCACAACCCCCCAGCACAACCCCCCCAGCACAACCCCCGGCACACACACCCAGCACATCCCCCCAGCACACCCCCCGGCACAACCTGCCAGCACAACCCCTAGAGAGGGCCAATTTAGAGTCTGGAGGTTGTGCTGGAGGTTGTGCTGGAGGTTGTGCTGGAGGTTGTGAAGGAGGTAGTGCTGGAGGTTGTGCGGGAGGTTGTGCTGGAGGTTGTGCTGGAGGTCGTGCTGGAGGTTGTGCTGGAGGTTGTGCTGGATGTCGTGCTGGAGATTGTGCTGGAGGTTGTGATGGAGGTTGTGCTGGCGGTTGTGCTGGAGATTGTGATGGAGGTTGTGCTGGAGGTTGTGCTGGAGGTTGTGCTGGAGGTTGTGCTGGAGGTTGTGCTGCAGGTAGTGATGGAGGTAGTGCTGGAGGTTGTGCTGGAGTTTGTGCGGGAGGTTGTGCTGGAGGTCATGCTAGAGGTTGTGCTGGAGGTTGTGATTGTGCTGGAGGTTGTGCGGGAGGTTGTGCTGGCAGTTGCGCTGGAGGTTGTGCTGGAGATTGTGCTGGATGTTGTGCGGGAGGTTGTGCTGGAGATTGTGCTGGAGGTTGTGCTGGAGGTTGTGCTGGAGGTTGTGCTGGAGGTTGTGCTGAAGGTAATGCTGGAGGGTGTGCTGGAGGTCGTGCTGGAATTTGTGCTGGAGGTTGTGATGGAGGTTGTGCTGGAGGTTGTGATGGATGTTGTGCTGGAGGTTGTGCTGGAGGTTGTGCTGGAGGTTGTGCTGGAGGTTGTGCTGGAGGTTGTGCGGCAGGTTGTGCTAGAGGTAGTGCTGGAGGTTGTGCTGGAGGTTGTGCTGGAGGTTGTGATTGTGCTGGAGGTTGTGCTGGAGGTTGTGCTGGAGGTTGTGCTGGAGGTTGTGCTGGAGGTTGTGCTGGAGATTGTGCTGGAGGTTGTGCTGGAGGTTGTGCTGGAGGTTGTGCTGGAGGTTGTGCTGGAGGTTGTGCTGGAGGTTGTGCTGGAGGTTGTGCTGGATGTCGTGCTGGAGGTTGTGCTGGAGGTTGTGATGGAGGTTGTGCTGGCGGTTGTGCTGGAGGTTGTGCTGGAGGTTGTGATGCAGGTTGTGCTGGAGGTTGTGCTGGAGGTTGTGCTGGAGGTTGTGCCGGAGGTTGTGATTATGCAGGAGGTTGTGCGGCAGGTTGTGCTGGAGGTAGTGCTGGAGGTTGTGCTGGAGGTTGTGCTGGAGGTTGTGATGGAGGTTGTGCTGGAGGTTGTGCTCAAGGTTGTGCTGCAGGTTGTGCTGGAGGTTGT